CGCGTACGGAAGTACTACAAGGAAAAAATCAGAAGGGGAGAGACACGAGGTGGAAAATCTAAGCTGCTCGAAATGGTAGTCTAAGCGTACGGAAGTACTATAGGAAAACTTTTGAAGCAGCAAAGAATGAACAGAAATTCAGAACCACTTGAGTAATTTCCTACACGTACAGAAGTACTGAAAGGAAAAAATCAAGCAGCAATGAAACATATATGGTAAGACAAGTAATCAAGGAAAACTTTTGAAGCAGGAAAGAATGAACAGAAATTCAAAACCACTTGAGTGATTTCCTACGCGTACAGAAGTACTGAAAGGAAAAAATCAAGCAGCAATGAAACATACATGGTAAGACGAGTACTAAAGGAATCTTTCAAAGCAGCAAAGAATGAACATAAATTCAAAACCACGGAAAAAATCAAGCAACACTGAAACACACATGGTAAGAGGTAAGACAATGAAAAGATGAAACTTAGGAAGCCAAACAATGATAAGGGTGTGAAAAAGATTTCTATATTGATATATAAGATGTTGATGGCTGGACGATGAGGAAGTTGACAAACAAAATCCAGACCACAGAGAAGATGAAGTCGAGGGGACAAGACAAAAGGAGGGTTGTGAAAAGGGCTTCTATATTGCTAAACCAATGTTCGTTGTTGAGAAAACGGCTGAAACAAGCACCAAGGGTTCCTACCTTCTTTGGTATATCTGAGACTGTGCCCTGGTCCAATCAATTGATCACCAAATTGGCTCGATTGCCAAAGTGATCCAGTCCAGGGCAGTTGAAGAAAACACAACAATTAACCCGGCTCATGATACTCATCAGGGGTTGTTGTTTTGGTGATAGACATATGGACTAAAATATACAAGATAAGAAGAGACCCTTGATAAATGAAAAAAGCGTTCCTTATCTGTGTCCTAACAACCACTAAGTTTATGACATATGGATGGACTTCGTCGCTTGCTGGCTCCTTATTCCATTGCCCTTCGAATTATCCGGCTCATGTTGTCGGTGTAAAATCGTCGGTGCAAAATTGCATTTCGACCTGTCTATCTCTATTTTTACACCTACAGTTTTTACACCGAAAGTCACATGGTGTAAAACTTTTGGTGTAAAAATAAACCTCGAGGTACATAATCACATTTTTACACCGAAAGTTTTTACACCGAAAGTTTTCGGTGTAAATCCTCCGGTGTAAAATTCGATATCACGACCGGGTACAAGAGTTTTACACCGAAAGTTTTACACATACTTTTTTTACACTGACGAAAAAAAAATCGAAACGGTGTAAAATTACCAAATAAGGGGGTCATTTGGTAATTTTACACCTTTTCGATTTTACACCGAAAAAGTCGGTGTACATGGCACGGTGTAAAATTCTCCCACCCGTTTTCCTTTTACAAATGCATTTCAAGCTCAAGAAAATAACTCAACCAGTCTAATAAGCTTCGTTTCCGGCCGACTCTATTTGGCCTCCAATGAGCAACTAGTGTTGTGCTTCTTGGAACATCCATCGCGTTTATCAACACTCTCTCTATGCTTGGAATCGAGATGAGATGCCTTTTTCACTTTGGAAGACGACTCGCCGGACCATCTTTGAAGCGTCAGTCCAAACTTCACAGGGTCACTGCCTTTCTTTCACCATTCGATACTTACCGCAGTCTCTTCTTTCTCTTTTCTTGATTCACAAACACCTCTCATTCTTGAAACAGTCATTTGGACTTGAAAAACGTTCCATCCACTCAACAATCCACCTCATTCATCGAAAATTTCTAATTTCAAGTTGTGCTTCGTGGTCATCTTGTCATTACCCATCCCATCTTACTCATCATGTCTGATTATCATTCAACACTTACCATCTCGACTTCTGTTGATACTCAACATCAAGTTGCTTTTGAGGGCACTTCAGGCACCGCTGAAGGGTATTGCGTACCTTCACCATCGGATGAGCTTTCCAACTCCAGTCACTCCATTCTGTTAGAGTCTCCGCCTATGGGTATGGGCATTCTGTCTCTCGAAGATTGTAATTTTAAGACTTTCCTATTGACAACCAATCCATGCATTTAAGAATACTGATTTACAATTTTGTCTTTCCAGATATCCCTACCCCAACAACAATTTCATCAAATACCCAAAATAGTCACTCCGAATCCAATATCTCTTCTCCAGAGGAAGGTTGGTTTGAAAAACTTTTTCTACTTATTCTACTTTGCTGGGCGCGTCTTCTGATTTATTTGCATATTTGTCAGACAACATCGTGCAAAACCCCGAATTCATGTCTGAGCTCAAAGCAGAGTTAAACGGCAAGTCTAAGCTGTATTATCTTTTACTTATGTGGGCACCCAGGTGACATCTTCCCTCAATTACCAATACAGCCATCATAAACACCAACATTACATCTACCAGCGCTTCAAACACAGCCTCAACCCCCAGACTACGTTTCTCTACTCGCCTCATGAACCACAAATCAGATCTCAATGGTGAGTCCATCTTACAATCAGTGTAGTCCTGTGTAGTCCTTTGTTGACCATTTTTTTCACAGCCACAGGTGTCGGTCCTGTTAGTCCCAAAACAGGATTCACTCCCTCTTCTCCTGGTCCGAAAAAGCGCGGATTTTTTGGAATCGAGGAAGCAAATGACAGTGAGTCTTTGGCCTTTGATTTGGCGTGAATCCACAAGATAACACCTCGTTCCATGAACCAGTGCGACCCTCTAAGCGCCTCATGACCCCCAAACCTTCCATAAAAATCCGACCCCCATCCCAAGTCCGCTCTTTGGGTGGTGAGAAGCGCGGGACACAATCCATCAGGACAGGTATCAACAAGTCTATTGAAGGTATGTTCCTGTTTTCTTACATTTCACAGTTATTTGAATCTCACTCAAAAATACAATTGCAGGCCCTCAAATCACGCTCCCCAGTCCTTTGTTTGCCAGTGCACCTAACCACAACACTTTGGAACATAGCAACCCTGCTAAAAGTCCAATCAACCAAAGCGACTCTGTTCCCACGCCGGAGCACCCCATTTGTAACTGTCATCAAATCACGGAGAGTCTTCTCCTGGAAATTCAAGGTCACCTCAACCGACTCGCGGGACTTTTATCACATTTCCAGGCGTGATTTCTTTTCCTCACAAATCGATTCAACTTGAAGCTTCTAGCTGTCTTTTGTATATAGTGTACATAACTCATATTTTCAGTATATCAAATGTAAGACAAAGTTGTTTTAGACAACCAGAATTTAGACGACCAGAACTGGTGAAAACTTTCAAGCCAAATTCGGTTAGACTTCTAACCAGAAAAACCAACACTCATCCATTCAAGTAGTGTCCAAACAATAATGACATATAGTATTGGATGGTTTTGAAAATCTTATAATGATACAAATTGAAGGTATTGAAATCAAATTAATCAACATGATCATATTTAACGTTCTATGTTATTACGAGATACAAACTTTTTTACTTTTAGATTTGTTAAACGATTAAATACATTAAACATGTGAATGAGAATTGAAGGACTACACGTGTCATAAGTTTACCCAGGGTAAGGACGGTCACGCCAAAGTGGGCAAATCAGAGTTTGTGGTGCTTGAGGAGACGGATGACGATCTTGAACTGGTTGAGTTTGTTAGTTAAAACGTTTTTTTGCAGAACTCAGGGTGCATGTAGATTTCAGCTCAGAATGAGAGCTCAAGCCTCAAACACAGTCACGCTCGTCAATGCGATGTCTGGCTAAGTATTGGCCAGGGCTAGGAACCACAAAGACAAATTGTTTGATACGATTTTTGGGCATAATTGCGAGGCTCCCAGCCCCCCTCGACGTCGAGGGGGTATCAGACGGTCCTTGTGCTGTAAGTTATTTGGTCTCTACCAAACTGTTTCCTGTCAGAAATATTAACAACAACTTGCACGTTTCTCGAAGAGGTTTTACTGGTTGTGTAACCAGATCAGTAGCGGGCCCGCTTATCCTCTAGTTGTGTTTAAATCCAAGTTAGGCGTGTATTTAAATTATTCGGTATGAACGTGGTATATGATATTTTCAGTGTTTCAATGATAGAGTTTATTCTCTATCAAAATACTTGGGACTTGGCAATAGATCACAAAAAGATATTTACATGAAAAGGAATCGGATTATACACAAAGTATAGTAGGGAGAGTGAAATAAGAATATCAAACAAAGTCATGTTTAACACTCATATAACATGGGGACATTGAATGAAATGTATCTTTCCTTCTCGGATCAAGTGAATTTGGTGGTTGATGTCGTCTAGGAATTCATCGATGTAACCAATGCAAGCTCCACAGGCTGCTTCACATATACACACAACGGATCGCCAGGAGGAATTTGTCAGTAGGGGTTCATCTTCTTGGTTTAAAACAAAATCAAACCACTAACTGACCGTCAGGAGAGATGGAGGTGAAAGAATTCCCAGAGGGTGATTCAATTGATATTGAAACGCTAGCCTTCCTGCGCTTGTGGAGTGGCTCTGATTCGAGACAACTTTTAAGTATCTCAACTGAAGGGAAAGACAGTTTATTCGCACTTACCATCATCTGTTGAGTTTTCAAGCTGGTGTTTTCCTGAGTTGATGATGGCATTGGGTACCAAATCGTGTGAGAATTCGGTTTGGACTTGATTGGACCGTCTGGAAGGAATTTCCACATCTGATAGATACATTTGTCAGTTTTTGACAAGAAAGAATAATGCGTATCTCAAACCTACCGTACTCGGCATCAATGTCCATAGGGGATGCTACTCTGGATTGTCTGCTGACAGTGGTTGGACTCTCAGTGTTCTGGAGAGCTGAATGAAAGTTTCCGAAAAACATGAAATGTATCACCAGAGCAGGGATGTGAATCAATCAAAATCAAACTGAGAAATATATAAAAAGAGATAAATCATGGTTAACAAAAGAAGGGTGGGCCTACAGATCACACAAGCAGCATCCAGTAACATGTTGATACCACGGGAATCAGAAATGGAGACATCTGGAGTGATGAAAGAATTAAGAAGAGGACCTTCAGGCTCGGATTGAGGAAATTCGGGCTCGGATTGAGGACCTTCGGGCTCGGATTGAGTCGCATTTGTGGCAGCTTGCTTTGGATCGTTGCTCTCCATCAAGGGTAGAACATCAGGAGATAAGACATCGCTAGAAGTGTAACCACAATCATAGGGCGGTTGTGTCATTTTTGCTATACCTAAAAAACAAACAAAGCAAACACCGATAAGAAAAGATAGGTGAGGGTTCACAATAAGCATCTACAATGTATCGTTTATACGTACTTGAAAAGCCTCTAATGTGATGTTTGTTGAGCAGTGGCGAACCATCCGGTGAAATTTCACCCAGCAGGATTCTCGAGTCAGAGAGATTGGAGGCGGAGCTTGTCCGAGTAGGATCTTCCTTGGCAGCGTTGCTTTCCGTCAAAGGAAACACATGATTAGAGGGAAAATCGCCAGAAGTGTTGGAGGATTGGTCAACACCGATGTGATCGCAGCGAACGACTGTATGTGGCAGACTTGCAGTACCTGCCGACCAAACAAGCGTACCAATCAGTACACAGAGTCAAGTAGGATCATTGTAAACAAGCAAAGGTATGTTCCTTGAACGTACGTAAAAAGCATGTAACGTTGACTGTGGAGTTAGTAGCCAGAAAAGGGTCGGACTCATGTAAAGGCACCTGAGCATCATGTGAAATTTCACTCGTGCTCATTGAGTCAACCTGCGGGGTGATACTTCTGGTGAATTCTGTGAATTCTGGGGTAACAAAAGGGTCGCCCCAAGTCTCACTGGACTTCGGATCGGTTGAAGGTATTTGAATGGTGGACGCCGGTTTTCTTACTACTGCTCGAGCAGTAGCACCTGGCGAAGAATCGTTGCTAGGAGCTTTCGTTGGTTGAGAAAATGGAGTCATCAACAAAAATCGAGATGATGGTCTGCAAACTGGGACAAGACGACTCACCAAACCAGCCTCTTGCCTTCGTAATGTGCTTCTTCAAAAAACTAAGGGAGCTTCGAACTAGCCTCATGACAAATGGCACTGCGTTAAAGAGTGATCTATTGAATGTATCCGGGGAAGTCAATGCAAATTGATATATAACTCAGTTTAATAGAAGGAGAAATGAAAGATGAAAAGACGGAGCAGATTGTCTAACTCACTTTCTGCCTTCCCTATAAGATGTAGATGAGTTTCAGCGTACTGCGAACCCAATTATCAGGGTCAAAGGTCATGTAATTTGTTTGCCGAATGTCAGAAAAAACCTCCGCGGTGAGCGTATAAGACCAAAAGGGAGTATGAGAGACAGGATCACCATCCCCGCTCAGTTCCAGAAGAAAGAAAATATATTTAGTTGGCTCTAACCTTCCAGTGGGATTCACCACTGGCCGGGATTCAACCACTGGCCGGGATTCAACCACTGGCCGGGATTCAACCACTGGCCATGAAGGGGGCAGCGGGGTGGAAGCGCTGCTTTCCCTCTTCATTTTTTCTCCCTTTTTCTGTTTGATGTGTGCGATTACGCGTTCTCGATTCTTTGTACGTATTTCCTTCTCGTTCTCTGTACCAATTGTGTTACGCTAGCCGTGCACCTATAGACCATGGCACGATTATTGGAGCTCCTTCAAATGCGAGTTTGAAGGGTGCACGTAAGAAGACCATTCATCATCCCTTTGAGTATAACAGAGACCTCAAATCATCACGACATCACGATCCCAAAGGCCTGTGTCTTTGTGGGAAAGCTCTTTTTAGTATTTGGCGAAGATGAAAGGATAAGTTAGATTTGGCCTTTGAGTGTGGTGGAAGAAGAAAGACGATCACTATGAATATTCTAAAACGTAAAGGTACGATTCAATTTCAGTCTCGGGGAACCCAGTTACCCATTTGACTTGACCGCTTTCCAACTTTTGACTCTTGATCATAGTTTCTTTAACCTCAAAAGACCGCTGTGTATATTTATTCTTCAACGAGATTGATATTTTTCCTCTATTGATTTTTGATTCAATTTCAGTCTTTGAGAACGCATTTGACTTGACCATTATCCAACTTTCTTTCGACATTTGATCATAGTTTTTTAACTTCAATGTACGACTTCGACCGTGCCAGTAATCTCTCTCTCTCGTTTTCAAATGATTATATTTTAGGTCTAATATTCTATACCTTTCATTTTTATTTATCGGACTCAGTACTCAGAAGGTGTGTGTGCTCAAGTTTGTTTGAGCTTTCCGATGGCTGAACAACGCAGCAGCCCTCTAAGGTAGCTCAGATCAAAGCTCCGAGCTCAGATCAAACCTGCTGAACTGGGGCAGCGGACAATCGACAGACGTTCTAGATGACAATATGCAAACCTTCTGACCGTCTCGACGTCGAGACGGTCTGTGGCAGACGCGGTGCATGGAACATGCATTTCCAAACGATGACGTCAGTTGTTAGTTTGCCTTGAACTTCTTGAGATTTATTAAAACTCATTTGTTTTTTTCCTTTTTCAACAACTATTTACAACCACTGCTTTGAAGGGTCCAGGACCAAAAATCCGCAATCAACCATTCGACCTACCTACCGCCATCGAACGCAATCAAACGACCCAAGGGAGTTTGAAGCAGCCAAAAAAGAGAAGCCACATCTAACGCTTCAATCTCATCAATCCCCCTTACGATTGCATACCAAAAAGAATCTATACAGAGCAAATCATGATATGAACGTCATATTCTGAAACTTTGCATCAGTATTGATCGATTCACTCGATACATTTATTGTCTTTCAAGATCAAGATCAATTTTGAAGAGCTACTTGACAAATCCTCAATACTGTACCTAACTTCAATGTGTGATTCACCTGTTCAAGTTTTGAAACTCCATTCAGGTGTTGGATGGACTTGGCATGGTCATTTAGAATCAACTTGACTCACTTGTTTGATCTTGTAGTTTGGTCTAGCAATCCTTCCTTAGTATATTCTCACTCAAGCTTACCGTTCTGAATTCAGTCTTCTCAATCGCATCACTCCGTTGATTGCTATCTACAAGGATTCTAATACACTTCAGGGCCTCAAAAGATATGTTTGCTGTGATGTAATCACTTTTCACAGTCTGTAACTCTGTCAATCAATTTTTTTGTCTCAACAGTGGACATAGCTGAGTTACTGAGGGATTTGACTCCTTATTCAAATTCAATTCATGATTTGATCAAGCTCATGATCTGCTATATCAATATATCATCAATTGTGGTACATCTTGTGAACTTTGTAACGTAAGTCAGAATGAATCATATCAAAGTTGTAGTCAAAACATGACATCTGCTGATATGTTGTTTTAGGCTCAATTATCATGCTTATTCAAGTCTACAAACAATGTTGCAAATCAAGTCCAGAAGAAGAACGAGGGGATCCATCACTTTTTGCATCAAGAACGGTGGCCTTGAGCACATCACACTACGCCAAATTGCAAATTTACCGTGGAGTTTAGAAAATTGAGTAGACATAGAAAATTATAGAGAAGCTGGCAAGGGTCAGAAAAATATGAAAAAATAATGGGAGGGCCCTTTGATGCATTCCAATCTTCTGGCATATTTTTTCATATTTTTAAAACCACAATGCATATAACACTACACAAAATATAATATCTTCTGGGCAGAAAATATAAAAACCAACAAACAGAGATATTGAGCAGTCTTGAAGAGAGACAAAAATACACAAAAGTATGCATATTGTTCCTATGGCTGAGACCTTTGATTTGAGTATTTTTTTGTATTTTTAGTGTTAAAATTGTTGATTGTACTAACAAAAAACCCCCAGGATTGTCAGATTACAACCTGTAACAGAGATTGGAGGGCATAATTTGAATTCAACAATCCCCTATATCTTTGTCAATTCTTGATCAAACCACTTAATTTTTTTTCATTGGAAAGCCAAAGTCTGTGACTATATCTTTCATCAAGACAGAAAACTTGCATATAATTTCAAAGAATATCTACGTGGATATATAGGAAATTGTTTCAAAGACAAATATCTTTTTTTGTAGCGGAGCTAGAGATTTGATGTGTTAACATAACATTCAAATGCATTTCATGGCTTCCTAATGAACTAATTATCAAGTTTTTTGGCCCAGAATTGCAAAAGATATGAGGGATATAGAATTCCAGATTTCCCCTTGTCACCCCTTAGCCAAATTCCAATCTCTGTTACAGGTTGTAATCTGAGAATTTTGGAGGTTTTTTGTTAGTACAATCAACAATTTTCACACTAAAAATACAAAAAAATACTCAAATCAAAGCTCTCAATCATAGGAACAATATGCAAATTTTTGTATATTTTTGTCTCTCTCCCAGACTACTCAATATCTTTGTGTGTTGGTTTTTATATTTTCTGCCCAGAAGATATTATATTTTGTGTATTGTTATATGCATTGTGGTTTTAAAAATATGAAAAAATATGCCAGACAATCGGAATGCATCAAAGGGTCCTCCCATTATTTTTTCATATTTTTCTGACCCTTGCCAGCTTCTCTATAATTTTCTATGTCTACTCAATTTTCTAAACTCCACGGTAAATTTGCAATTTGGCGTAGTGTCAGGACGATCTCCAAGCCATCAAACATACAACAACAATCAATCGAAGCTCATCTTTCGATTTTGACTCGAATCATCATAAAACTAAATTGGAGCCCCTTTACTTGCTCTGCTTCTTCAATCTTTGAGTTGAGGCAGATGGGCGATCAAGAAAGCCATCCCATTTACAAGAATGTATCAATATGATAATCTATCAATGAAAAAATCCTCATTGAGCTCACAACCTGCTCCACTCACTACTTCACGTGACACCAGCTACAGATGAAGTTTTGCTTATTCAGCTTTCTTAAGCCATGCGAATGGAGAGACCCTCCTGATTACTACCTCTTATTGTAAAATGTATCTAAATCAATCTCTTACAACTCATGATTCAATCAAATTGAAGTGACAATAACCAATTTTATATTCATCTAATCCAGATCACCTGCTGAATATTCAACTCCATCAGTGCAAGAAGTCATTCAAAGATGCAATACTCATACATATAGAATTACTACTTCTCAATCTTCTGCAGCCATTTGAGCAGCTCAAGGACCTAACCAATTCAAGGTGGTTTCAAAAGAATCGTTGGCTCAATTTTATGAAAGTCTGCTGAATTTACTCTCATTGGAGTCGGCTGGAATAAGTTCAGCAGTAGGAACTGTAGATGATGCAATCAGTATCACAGTAGTGACACCACGGGAATTATTATGTCCAAGACCCGATTGAGCGAAGTTGTGGTGTCCGAGTCCGCAATAAGTCTCAATTTTTGGATTGAAACCTATTAAAGGCAAGGGGGGGACCTTGGATTTTAATAGGTTTCAATCCAAATTTGAGACTTATTGTGAACTCTGTCACCACATTAAGTTTCACATATGATTGAACCTAATAGATGCCTGTGGTGTGATCATCATTGTGGTCCTTGGTACATTGGGGATTTGGTAGAGATTCTAAAACCAGACCTTGATCTCATGATTATCTCAAACAGTTGAGTTTTCTTGTATTCTTGTAGATTTACTGGAGTTTAAGATTGATTATTTTGGCTAATTGCATTTGAATCTGGTAGGTGTTTAAGAGAAATTAAAATACCTTACGTCAATGCCTGTATTGAATCTATAACCACAACTTCTTTGTTGATACCAGGAATTGAAAGATCACAAAAGACATTGAATGATCCAGTACAACAAACACGGTGGTATAAATCCTAATTCTATCCAAGGTGGTGTTGACAATCAAAATGCTCAACAACAATCCCCTGGCGCTCATAATAATCATAACACTAAAGGCACAACCCAGTTTCTCGGCGAAACTGGATTAAACCCCTAAGGCCTTAACAGGTGGTCCTAAGGCCTTAACAAGTGGTGTGGTACACCTAAAGGCTAAGTACCAAACTTTAATTGTGCCTCCTGCTCCTCAGCTGTTTCCCTTGACCACTCCATTCGATCGGACTTAGGCCGTTTACATCCCCTGCTATACTCAGTCATTTTTGAATGATACCATTTATCCGCCGCACCGTCTTGCCTTACTGGAATTAGATATCGAAATTATCCAGGAATACTCACCACTGCCAATCACACTCAATCCGCGTACAAGTTTACAAGACTTATCAACTATTCTCACATTCGCCTGAAGGACATCATCGCTTATTACTTTATCATCAAGTTCACCTCAATCACCTTTGTCTTCAACGTCTTCAACCATTCCGGCTTTAGATCAAGCAACATTAAATCCTATACATTCCACTTTAAATTGAATTCAAGAAAATCTATTCAAATCTAAATTTCTCATTCCAATCAATCTAAAACCAAATGTAAATTCAACTTTCAATGAACTCTTTTCAAAATCATGGGTTCAAAATTCAACAGCAGAAGTTTTATTTATGTATCAAACACTTGACAAGATCAAATGTTTGTTGATCATCAAATTTAGTACCTCCAGGTGGTTGTATGAAACCAGAAGATGAAGATATCAATTTAATGCATTAAGAGAAACATATGAAGAAGTAGGAATGGATTTTGAATCTTGTATCTACTAATCAATTGTGATCTGAGCCTGTATCCCCACCTACTGAAAAACATGTATTTGATTTGTACTAGAACTGAGGTAAGCTTTTCATTTGCTCAAACTTATCTCAATCCCAACATCTATTCAATCAAGCTGATTTTTAAAATCCTTGATCATGATGTAGATATCTGGTCAACAAAACTTGGGATCGTGGATTGGATGATTACATCAAAGATGCATATCTAAATGACAAAGTTGGTTTTTCAATCAATCCACTCAACCTATCTAATTTTCCTCATCACTATTCATCATCTTCCTGTTTTCAATAGCTACAATTACTTTCTTGCCAGGGTCTAGGACTGGACCGAAATATTTATCAATTCACCATTCTACCTGCCTACCTATCCGAGACGATCTGAGATATCTTGAAGCAGCTAACAAAAGAAATACCCGTATCCATCAATCTTGAATGAATCGCTTTCTACATTTTTATAATTTCGTGTATGATACTCTATGAAATCGATCCACGGACGAATCACGAGATTAACAACGTACTCGGAAACTTTGCATTAGTGTCAATTGATTTGCTTGATACGTTTGTTGTCTTTCAAGATCTCGATGCATCTTCAAAAGCAACACAACAAATCATTGAAACTGTACCTAACTGCGATATCGATTCATGTGTACAATCTTTTGAACCAACGAGTCGAGTCTTGGGTGGACTTTTAGGTGGTCCTTTCTTTGCTTCAGATCATGAAAACAGTTGAGGATATTGTTTATTGGTATAATGATGATTTGTTACATTTGGCAAAAGATCTTGCTGTTCCAATGATGGTGATTGATAATCTGATGATTTACGATCGACTTGATTTGATCTCAATGAACATGACTGATGTTTCACTGCTACTCGCGCAGGTCTTTCTTATGCATGAATTTAGCCATTTCATTCTTAGTGGTCACATGAAATCGATCACCAAATCAATCACCAACTCCCTGAATGATCATCTCACCTATTACAGGTCAACTTGACATTCGGAATTGCGAAATGAGAAAGAAGAGGAATGTGTCCACCCGGAGCAGGGTCATTGTTCGCTAAATGCAACTGATTTACCTAAAAACCAACAATCTCAAATCAAAATTTCATGTCAACAAATACAAATTCAAATCAAAAGATAAGTTTGGTATTTGAAACATTGGTTCAAAGTTCAAAATACTCAAGTGAATTGAAATTGAAAATCAGAGGTTGAACTGATTTTTGATTGGCTAAAATGATAACAGGTAGAAATAAAGTGGATTCTGATAGTTTGATTAGTTGGTTTGGATATGGAATTAGTCAAGCACTGTTTTAGATGTAAGAAAGACTTTACAATTTTTGGAATATATTTTGAGATTGTTTCATTACAACAAAGACTTTAGAGATTTTTGATTTATCATCTATATCTGTTCTAGATGAGATCCAATATAAATTTATGATGATGGTTTTTTTGAAGTATAGAAATTGATATTTTTGTTATGTGTTTATTGTTTTTTATTTTATTTTCAATTGTGGGGTTCTTCAATCAAATTGGTATTTGCAAGAGTGAATGAAAAAGCCAAATTTGATTTAAATTCAAATCAAGCAATTATGAAAAATATTTCAGGATTAAGTCTTTTGATTCAAAAACTTTCAGTTGATGTTACAATATGAACTGTTGTAAGTTGTACAAGGTTATGAGGAAGAAATATAAGTTAGATTTTATCAAATATGATGTTTTGATTGATTGTTTTCTTCTGGTGAAATTCAATATGCTAAACTGGTCATTGAGGGATGAGATATGTGATGTTTGATGATCAATGGCTTGGAAGATGATTGATTGTTAGAAGTTGAACATTTGATGACTTGGTATTGACATACCTTTTGTGCTTTGAGGCTTTGAACGCGGCGGCCCGCCGCTGATTTGCTAGTCAAATCATAAAACAATAATCAACAAAGCTCATATAATTTGTGGTGGTGGTGGTGGGACTTTGTTTGGTCAACAACAACAAAATCAAGGAGAGTTATATCAAATGAATCCTAATGAACATTCTAATTTTGCAACTGGATGACTGCTACCAGCAGCACATGTGATGACAAGAGATGGGATTAGTTCAAATCCTATGATAGATAGACCATCACCATCACCTCAACCACCATCTAGCCCTTCAATCACTAACACCCAACAACCTACACCAGCACCACCTCCATTTCACCTAATAGTAATGTACATTTTACATCATCTTTATCAACTGATACAATTAAAGGTATTTGGAGATTTAGATGAAAGTAGATTAACAGCAAGTTGTAGACATGACTAATCTTGTGGGAAGAACAGCTTAGATTAGTAGGTGAAAAAGAGAAAGAAAGATCAAATAATCTTGAAAAGTTTGTTAATAATATGAATGAAAGTAATGAACTTGCTGGTACTGGTACTGGTAATGAAGATCAAACTCAACATAGGTTATTGGCCTCTAATCAATTACCATCTTCAAGTGCTACAGACAATTCTACAGGAACTTTGGATAGGTGTAAAATGTGGAAACCTGAGCAGACATTGAGGTTGTGAGTGTTTGAATTCAAGTGTGTCAGGGATGAGTGTACTGATCATGATTTTTATACATTTGGATGATCAACAAAATGAAGCCATCTTGATGTGGCTGTATGTATGGCTTTTGATCAGATTAGACTTGCTGTTGTTTTGGGTACTGATGAGTGTACAATTAAACTTTGGCATTTGAAACCAGTATTGATCTCAAAGTGAGTATCAAACACTTATCATCCATGAAACTGCAAAAGATGTATGGAAACTAGAAACTGATCTTGGTTAATGATCTTGATAGTCCAAGTCTATCAAGTTGGCCTGAAACTGAACCACAAATCATATATTGAGACCATTCAGCCACAGTTACAAGTGTAGCAATTTCAACATTACCACCCAAAATTCAGTCAGATTCATTGACTGTAATAGTATGGTCATTACCTACACCAGAACACATAACATATGCACCATTTGATCCAACATCACAACTTTATACATTTGTTGGACATACAGATGGGTATTGGGATATGATACTCCTACCCTTAAAATTAAGAGATGAAGCTTTATTAGCTACTATTAGTGAAAATGGAACAATCAAGGTTTGGAGTACTGATGCATTAAATTCAGCATTGAAATGAATTTGAGGATACTACAGTACATTAGAAGAAGGAACAGAAGAAATTAAAGAAACTGAGAAAGATAACAAATTGGTGGAGGTTTAAAATGAAAATGATAAAAAAGCAAAAATAACTTCAACATGTCATACACAATAAGCTGTATCTTCCAGCTGGACAGATATTATTGGAGCACAGTTGGAAGCATAACTCTGCAACGTAACCCCTTTGAATACCAATCATGACTCAAACTTGACAACATCCAAGCCTGCTGTTTTAGTCCTCCCCCATCTTCAGTTTTGATCACAACACATCTACTTCTGGTCAGGCTCTTTATTCCCAAAAAATAGACCAATAGCCAATTAAACTTCTTTTTCTCTGAGGGGAAATATCACCACTTTGTCAGTAAACCCAAAAATTATGTAGGTGAGAGGATTGACTGCATAGGGGTTACCGGAATTGGAGTTGTTTGCACCGTTAAAAGTTTGTTCAAGTCGTCACCTTCCTTAGAAGATATCTTCACCATGGTTTTAATGGTCTTACATTCTGACCAAAACCCTATAATTAGTCAAATTGTCGTACACCAAATCATCCCCTCAGAAATTTCAATTTTTAGACCCAGAAACCAATACAGGCAAAGGTTGAGCACCACAATAAGCCATCTCCTGAATCCACTAGAGTGCATGAGCTGCTCATGGTGGGCAGTAAATACCAATTTCACAAGGGAATAAAAGACTTCAACATGGACAACTCATGCTGGGTTGTTGCTGTGGCTATTTTATCACATTATCCATATGTTACTTTAGTCTCTCAAAGCTCATGTTATTTGTCTACTACTTTCTGCAGGCTCTGTATGTACAGAGCCTTAAGATTTCTTAATTCCCATGTCTTTCTACCTTGCACAGTCCAACCCAATTCACCCCATAAAACTCTCCAATTAGAGAATGACTCTATCAAATTCTCTGTTTGTATTTACAGCTTCCAAACTTGTGCCAAGTACAATCCTGCTGTTGTAATTTCTGCATTTTTAGGACTTTAATGATAGCTGTAGTACATAATATCATTGTGTGACTTTACTTTGGCAAATCAACCTTATACTTGGCAATCATGTAATCCAAAACATGTATTAGTAGAGAGCGGGTGTCATAAAACATTGAATACAAAGATTAATATCAACTCAGTCACTCAGTTCCTGTACAAAACATACAAACTATAAATCTTACAAAGATTTTGCAAGTAATACAAATGGGTTAGGAACTGTTAAGGAATATCAGGTTTTAGGGGTTAGGATTAGGGTTTAGGATTAGGGGTTAGGCTTAGGGGTTAGGCTTGGGGGTTAGGCTTAGGGATTACACCCAAGGGTTACGCTTAGGCTTAGGGCAGGATATATTGTAATGTGTACATCCCTTACACCACATTCCTTTGACACATCCATTGGCAAAGTATCATCACTCACCATTCCCCATACCCATCTCACTGCTCATCAACCAGCACCTTCTAGGTTGGTGGAACACTCATCCATAGAAAATCAAATTTATGGCAAACAGATGATCATACAAAACATATCATAACACTTCATTCTCATAACGTTGAAAAGCCAAGAACTGTGTGATACAGGGTTGGTAGCCCCATTTAGAGCTCATGGCCTGAATTGTCATTATATAATTGAACCAACACAACATGAAGTATTGATAAGTAGTAGTAGTTTCCCATTGTTCCATTCAGCAATAGCAAATCCTGTTGTGATTTGTACACTGGCTTGAGCAATACTCAAACCTAATTCAGAGCAGGTAGAGAAGGAAGAGAGTCAAATCAAACCATGTTGCTTTATTAGTGAGCAAGCAGTCAATTTAGCATTACCAATGATAATATCAAACAACACAGTTTATACAATGTCTGTGCAAAATGCAAAAAAAATCATCTAACTCAACACTCCTCAAATTAGTTAGAGCAGATGGACCACACCAACAGAACCATTAAGAAGGAGGCCCCAATAGCATTTTGGATATGATTAAACTAGATGATGGTTTCCTGGTTAGCTTCCAGACCTGTTTTACCAGACTCCTCTGGTGAAGTGTAAACTGAGCTCTACAAAGCTTGCACACAAGCTTACAGTAAGCTATTTTTGGCCAACTGGTGAAATGAAATCTTATGTTCTTGAATTTGATTTGAGCTCCCCCAAATCTGGAATTCTCAGTGGCGTTTGTAAATTAATTTACCAGAATGTTGAAAACACATCACATTACCAGTGCAGCGCCCACCGCCAAATTGTGCTAGTCATCTTGAATCATTGATTGGCAATTTGTAATTGTTGCACACAAGGACAACTAATAAAGATAAAAACCTCAAATCCCTGCTGAGACTCAAGAAGTAAAAACTGGTTAGGAACTGTTAGGGTTAGGGTTAGGGTTAGGGGTTAGGGTTAGGGGTTAGGTTTAGGTTTAGGGGTTAGGCTTAGGGCAGGATATATTATAATTTACACAATGTGCACCATGCAGTCATACAGGGTGTGGCACAGAAAGCACAAAACCAATGTGTCAGAGTTCAGGTGCGCCTGGGAGCACACCAAATCCCCAAAGTATCTACAGAAACACCCCATAATTATTCTTCAGGTTTTGACAAAAATGTCAGTGTGGTGCCCGCCGCCCAATTGTGCTAGTTTTACTTGAAATCCAACTTTGAGGGCTCTAAACATTGTAAAAGCTTGCAATAAATTTAGCAGGGCTTCTTCAAGCTCTTCTGCTTCTCCTCATGCTATTTTTATCCTGTCACCACTTCTAGATTGTAAGGAAATTTGATTCCAATACTGAGTGATCTTGATCAGTTCAGCATGCATGTAGGCCCGTGCCTTGATCAGTATGAACCACATTTACAATAACTCAACAGCTCAAATTTTTCAAATTACACAAGTAAAGTGGTGCTGAAAGTGGCACAAGTGTGCTTACAAGGCTTATAATAAGCCACGCTAAATTGATTGCAAGCTTTTACAACCTTTGGAGCTCTCATAAAAGGATTTCAAGGGACATGGTCGCGTTGGAAGAGGGCCTTATTTAAGCTTAGAAATTTGGTACATTCACCTGTTTTTTTCAACATCCATATAGTCACAAAAGCCCAAACTAAAGACAGCTAAAACCTGAAGGAAGTTTATATATGTATGCAGATTGAGTAAGGGCCAAATGCATATAAAGAACTTAAGGTTTTTGGTTCTATCCCTGAAAGAGATTAAGATCAGACTTCAGTCTAATGTAAGAAGACTGATGTATGATCAAAGAGACCACAATACCTGAAAAAGATTAAGATCAGACTTCAGTATAATGTAAGAAGACTGATGTATGATCAAAGAAACCACAATCTAATGAAAGGAGATTGTGCGAAACAAATTGAGTTCGATTTCAACATAAAGAGAACTAATTTAGAAGAAAGAAAACTAACACCTGAAAGAGATTAAGATCAGACTTCAGTCTAATGTAAGAAGACTGATGTATGATCAAAGAAACCACAATATAATGGAAGGAGATTGTGCAAAACAAATTGAGTTCGATGAAGAAAGAAAACAACACAGTGAGGAAAACAAGTTGTTTATATATAGAACTCATTGAACACAATGTAATGACGTCATCTTCATGATGTTAGAAAGAAAACTTTAATATATTATGTGAATGTAATCATACGCGTCCTGCAAACCAAGAGTCATTGCTACGCGATGCTCAATTCATATCACCCCAAGTAAGTAAACTTAAAAAGGTACTTGGGAAACACTAAATTGAGAAGGTTGATTCAATATCAATTACTCAAAGCAAGTATGTACAAGTGGTACCACTACATAGTTTTTTTGGCGGGGAAAATACTTCTTTTGTTTTTTTGCCCGCCACAAAAAACTATGTACGACAACTATAGTGGTCACAAAGTTGAAAGCCACATGAAAAACCGCATGAAACCACGTGGGTTTTTTGATTTTCCCCGCAAAAACCAAAAAATCCATGTGGTTTTTTCACTTTAGGCAAACCCTGAGGTAATCAGGGACTGAACCTGGTGGGTCAAAGGCACTCAGGTATCTAATGGTTAAACAGCAGCATGTCATGTATATATGGTCAATGACTTTGATTGTGCTGTTGACCGTTGATTACAAAGCTTACTGTGAAAGCTCAAAATCATCTTATATTGCGCGAGATCCAATGCTTATTGTGCAACTTCACAGCCAGATTAGTCATCATCAGGACATCATGATTCTTGACTTCTTTTAGTTTATATATGCGCTCGAATTTGGTCATTTACCAAACTTCATTCCCGACAAAAGGTTGTGATTTGATTTCCATTGTTCTTTCTCAACTTTTTTTAAATCAAATAAAGGAAAGATGCCTGCCATTGAACCTTGTGAGATGAGGAAATCATTCATATTTCATCGACATGAGTGATCGATGGCTAACTCTTCTTTTTTATTCCAAAGCCTCTCACGTCTTGGTAAACGGCGCGTGCGTGTTTTTCATCCACAGAATCGCACTCTTGGAAGTATCTCAACCTCTTGAATTCTTTTACTTTTGTATTTATAGGAGTGGTTATATTGCAAGTTGGACATGTCAATACTTACTGGAAGCTGGTCATAAAGTACGTGGAATGGTAAGATCAAAAGAGAAAGGAGAGTATCTTTCCAGACTCTTCACGCAATTTGGAGGAAACTGGTCTTATGTTATAGTGGAAGATGTTGAAAAGGTTTGATATTTCAGATCATATCAAACTTTTTAAATAGACCTAATGTTCCAGATTCTCTTATTGGATTTTATTTTTTGGGGGTCAAGCCACATGGATTTGATGAAGCTGTAAAAGACATTGTTGGTATTTGCCACGTTGCCTCACCCTTCCAGGTAACCGTACGTACATCGATTCTCACGCATAATTCCAAAAGGAATTTATTTATCAATAGACCGACAATTCACCTTCATAATTTGCTATGATTTTACAGGTGAAAGATCCATACAAAGATTTCATAAATCCAGCCGTAAATGGAACCTTATCAATTCTAAAATCAGCTGAACGTGAAGGGAAGGACGTTAAACGGATTGTGATCACTTCATCATTCGCATCAGTTGTGAATCCAACAGATGATCTAAATCATATATTTGATGAAACTCAATGGAATGAATATTCTCCTAAAGTTTAAAAGAGAAAGGAGTTGATGCTCCTGCTTTTGAAGCTTATAAGTGTTCCAAAGTCGTTGAGTCTTTTTTGAATCTAGTTGGATTGGTTTTATTTCTATCTTGATCTTGACATCTTAAATATTTTGATATCCACTTGAATCTTGTCAGTTGGCAGAAAAAGCAGCTTGGGATTATCTTGAAGAGAATGACCCGGACTTTGATCTAGTCACTCTTTGTCCTCCTTACGTGTAGGTCCCAACCCTGCTTGGATGTAGTTAAAAACTCCATTTCAAGCACCCCATTTTTCAATTTTGGATGTTGAAAAGATTAGGTCCAATCATCCATCAAGTCAATAATGCAAATTCATTAAATGCAAGTGTGAAATTATTTCACGATTATCTCGTAGGAACTAGTGACGCAGAATCTGCAAAAGTATGTTTTAGTCTTTCTGTCCTCTTGAATACATCTTAATGATCTGATCAATGAATAATTAATCAAATCAATGATGATTTTTGTGATGATTATAAGAAACCCATGGCTTCAGAGGTAGACGTACGAGACCTTGCGAATGCCCACCTTCAATCACTCCTCATTGAAAAAGCTGGAGGGAACAGATATGCGGTTTCCAAACGTGTGTTAGAATATCGCAAACCGTCCACCTTCAGGTTTTGTATTATACTCATCACTTTGTACAATGGTATGATTTGTAGAGGTCATCACTTGGCAAGACGGGTTAGATATTATTCAGGAAAAGGGTCAAGGAAAAGAATGGCCAAATGCAACAAAAGGGGAACCAGGTAAGAATACTCCTCCAAACTCGTGATGGGAGAGAAAGTTATGATTTCAAAAAAGCTTATTATTTACCACTTCATCTAAACAGGTAGTGGAAAGTTTGTAAAACAAAATGTCTATGATGCTTCTAAATCTATTCAAGATTTAGACATGAAGTATAGATCATTTGAAGATACTGTTATTGATATGAGTCACTCATTGCAGGTTCTTTCAAAGGCTTGGTAGAATCTTGCGTTATGCATCATGATCAGTTTGGTTTGTAGATTTGATGTTTAAGACAATTTACAACAGACTTAATTTACACAATTTTTCAAAGCTATCAATCAAAAATCTATGAGGTGAAATCGGATTCTGTACATCTACTTAACTTTCCCAAAGTTCATATGTATGTTGAAATAAATAAAATAAAGGTCAAAACACCAAGATTCCCTTTAATGAAATGGTGAATGCTGGCCTTACACTAACAAGACTGATGAAAAGAACAAAAATCACATTGAAAGACACAATATAGAGGTATTAAGAACTCACAGAAAAGCCAAAACGAGGTCTATTACCATCAAAGAATGTGGAATTCCGCCTGAAGATCAAAAAGACCACTCTTCCCTTGTATTTTGACCTTTTAAGCTTTGATCGCAGGCATCAATGTTCTCGGATCACCGCTTGTTTTGCATGATGACTTTTTGAGACCCGCCCCGATTCCGATTCACCGACACCCGTGACGACTGTCAAGGATGGACCGAGCCCGGTGCTCTCGATTGACTGTTCGCTGCAAAATTTTACACGTCTCGATGATCATATCCTTCCGCCTTAGATTGGGGATGAGGCAGGGAGATCGTACTGACACTCGGCTCAAATCAGCTCAATTCCCTGCATTTGTGGGAACGTTCAAGACGCCCGTTGCGAATGGCAAACATCCTCGACAGAACAAACAATCCCTGGACTCCTTACCTTCCACCTTAGATTGGGGACGAGTGAACGAACCATATTGTCTTTCTTTTTAAGAAAAAAAATGGTTATTCCAATAGCGTAATAATCTAGAGACAAGTATCGCTTTTTGCAGCCGACTAGATGACCGAATGTTATGGTAGACTACATAGTTCCCTCAGGTTCCCTCCTCTATTGATTGTTTAGATAGTGCGACATGCAATTAAGCAAAAATGCATTTTTTAAAACGAAAGAAGATAATCTCGTCGAGTCGTCTGGCATGAAATCCAATAGTCCCAGATTGATCGTCATCATGACATCATTATTGTCACGTTGTGCGCCTACAGTTTAAATTTAACTTCAGCCTTCAAACTTGAAACAAGCAATTAGATTATTGGCTTTAATTCGATTTTATTCAACCTTTTAAACAACAAAAAAGGCAAAGCAAATGCCTGCTATTCAACCTTGTAAGCTGAAACGTACCTGTATAATCTGAATGACTTGAGTAATCGATAGCTAACTATTCCTAACAAAGCCTCTCACGTCTTGGTGACCGGAGCGTACGTATCACATTCACAAAGTTACACTTTTTTGAGCTAATCTCAACCTCTTGAATTCTTTTCCTTTTGGATTCATAGGAGTGGTTATATTGCAAGTTGGACATGTCAATACTTACTAGAAGCTGGTCATAGAGTACGTGGAACGGTTAGATCGAAAGAAAAAGGAGATTATCTTTCCAAAGTCTTTGAGAAATTTGGTGATAAATGGTCTTATGTTATAGTAGAAGACATTGAAAAGGTTTGATGTTCCTCAAACTTTTGATTCATCAATCTGAATTTATCAAATTCTGATGCCATTGCTCTATGTTTTAATATCGTTTTTGTCCTCGATTTTTAATGGATTTAAGCCAAATGGGTTTGATGAAGCTGTAAAGGATATCTCAGGAATTGCTCACGTCGCCTCACCCTTCCATATGAACGTACGTACCTTCATGACCGAATTATACTCCTGGAATCCATAAAGTTAACCATTGACATGATTCGATCTTCCAGGTAAAAGATCCATACAAAGATTTAATCAACCCAGCCGTAAATGGAACCTTATCAATCCTAAAATCAGCTGAACGTGAAGGAAAGAACGTTCAAAGAATCGTGATCACTTCATCATTCGCATCAGTTGTGAATCCTACAACCGATCTAAATCATGTTTTCAATGAAACTCAATGGAATGAACATTCTCCCAAAATTGTAGAAGAAAAAGGGATTGATGCTCCTCCTGCTGAAGTTTATAGGTCTTCTAAAGTAGTTGAGTACTTTATCTTTTCATCTCTCTGCTATCTGCTACTCGAGTCTTGCCTTTTTGACACTTTGAAAAATTTGTTTTCTACATAGATGGCAGAAAACGCGGCTTGGAACTTTGTTAAAGAAAGGAAACCTGACTTTGATTTAGTGACTCTTTGTCCACCTTACGTGTATGTACAAGCAAAACTCACTTCCTATAAGATCACATTATATTTTAAACCACGTATCTTTTTTACTTCTGGGCGTTAAAAGATTAGGTCCAATTATTCATCAAGTCAAGAATCCTGACTCGTTGAATACGAGTGTGAAATTGTTTTACAATTATCTCGTAGGAGATAGTGACGCAGAATCTGCGATAGTACGTTTCTTTTTGTACATTCCATAGATTCCTTTGTTGAGTGTTTAACCGGGAGATGTGAATTTGATATTATGTCGGTTTTTTTAGAAACCTTGGGGCTCAGAAGTAGACGTACGAGATCTTGCAAATGCTCATCTTCAATCACTCGTCATTGAAAAAGCTGGAGGCAATAGATATGCAGTTTGTAAACGTATGAGAATCTCTTACAAACTCACAAATAGCCAGTGTTGTATCTGACTACTCATTTCATACTGGGGTAAAAATTCTGTTTTGTAGAGAGCTTTACTTGGCAAGACAGCTTAGATGTGATTCAAGAAAAAGGTCAAGGAAAAGAATGGCCAGATGCAACAAAAGGAGAACCAGGTAAATAAAATCGTTTGAACTAGCAAAGAAACCATATCTATAAATCTCATCTCCAATTTTGAAATTTTATTGGAACAGGTAGCGGAAAGTCTGTCAAACAAAATTTATATGATGCTTCGAAATCTGTTCGAGATTTAGAGATGAAGTATAAAACATTTGAAGAGACTATCATAGATATGAGCAATTCATTGAAAGACCTTTCCAAGGCGTGGTAAACTCTTGTCTGATGGATTGTGATCTGTTACAATAGGTTTGTCACTTTGATATTCAAGAGTGTTTCATGACAATTTATTTACTCAATCCTTATCATTCCAGCTTCGAGATACGTACCTAGTTAGTTCCTAGGACGGTTTCATTACCACAGAGAACGATGCAGCAAATTACCTTATTTACATAAGCTATTACTAAAAGAGCTTACTTAAGATTTTCTCATTCCTTATGTAATTCCAAGGTGATACACATCTTGAAAGACTGAAATTTACGTATTGAGTCACTTTGGCCTAAAACTAGTATCACTTATCAGTTCTCCACATCTTGCCCACTGCCCAGAGAGTAAAGAAAGAAAGTGTATGTATGGGAAAATGAAACAAATATGGCGAAAGCTGGAAGAGACATTTAGAATTCCTTTATTATTGCTACCTTTCTCTGCACCATCAGCCAATGCCTTTGAGATATTTTCCAAGGCTGTTGAGATTTTTGGGATGACAATTCCTCATTGTATGAATGTAGCACAAATTCAGGTCCAACAGGTGTGATTGGCACCAACACTGAGACAGCTACACTACGGGCACGTTCACTTAAGCAATTTCTGGTGAGAAATCACATTCTGCAAAATTTAAAGTGTCTATTTGGTGGAGTATGTTTCATTTTTGCATTAAAAATTTTACAGAATGTGATTTCTGGTCAGAAATTCCTTAAGTGAACGCGCCCTACAACACACTATGGTGCATTTTGTGTGTAGTGACTGTGTAGCTGTGCTTAGTTAACAAAGATCTAACCTTTATGACAGTGTAGCTTATTAAGTCACACTATGCTACCAGCTACTGTAGCTGATTTTTGTGCCTCTACACTACACTACAGGGCCAAAATTTGGACAGCTGGAGATTCCTTGTGACTCTGTGTAGGGTAGCTGGAATTCATTGATGCTAATTCATGCTAGCGGTAGCTTAGCGGCATGCTTTTAGCTACACTATCTTTTGCTATCAGCTATAAGTAGATTAGCTGTCTCAGTGTTGTTTGCACCCTCATTGAATGAGGAGTGGTGACAAATTGTACTATCTTGTTGTAGTGTATCTTTGAATAATTGTTTGGCCTGGTCCTGATCATCCCAGACCATTCCAAATGCCTTTGAGAAAAATAGGAAATTTCCACCATGATACTTACAGAAATCAGAATAACTAAGCTCAAAAGTGTTGGGCCAAGTTCTCCAAAGGGATAAGATATCATCATGTCCAAAACAACAACACCCTCTCTGACCTGTGCATCTAACAAGTGTAGACTTAAGAGTGGAGATCAGGAAGGGAGGACAAAGAAAAAATATTCAAATGGCCAGACAGAGCAAATATGAGTTAGTTACATTTTCCAAAGAAGTTAAACCACAGAATTAACTTCTAAGAAACAGGCAATGTTCCTTATTTGCTTTGAAACAGACATATAGAAGGAAAGAAAGATGGAAAAAAGGGAAATCTTGCTTTTGAGAAAAAGAAGCCCCAATATATCAAGAATGGCCAATCACACAACTCTGATATTCATGAACTCTTAAGGCAACATGACCCCTGATGTACATGTGGAAGCTTCAGAACTACATCAGACAGCAGATTGAATGAAGTCAATGGTAGCTCCTTATTGGGCCAAAGTAGTAGCACCTCCTGAACAAAGAGACTGGATGGGAAATTCCTTGTTGGATGATTTGTAAAAGCACAATAAAAACCAGGAACACAATGGGGACACACCCTTCAAAGTTAAAAATAGTTGATGACAGGATAAAAAACAATAATCTCCGGAGTCAAGGTGCAATATTACAATCTGTACCAGACAAGCAGGCAGATTCTCAAAATATTGAACAATCACTGGAGCACCTGTAAAACCTATGGTGCCTTTTGAAGATGGTGAATATTTAATAAACCTTCTACAATGAGATAAATTGAAGGAACTTTTAAGAATATTTTTCTTTGAGTCAAAGAGCTTTGCAAATTTGGGAATAGTTAGTTGACCAAGTTGATGTGAACCTCAAACACCAACAGATAAGATCGCTAAAAATAATCTGTCATCGTGAGTAAAACCCATAAACAAGACAGTGAATTGTAGATGAGAAAAAGTTAATCAACTTTTCCTAACAACAGGCTCTTGGTAATTCTTGATGCAACTTTTTGTAGCAGCTCTGACATTGGAAACTCTGCATTCTAAGTGAAATCAATCCCTACTAAAAAACCACAAACAGATCTAGGAGAAATCATCAAAATATTGTATATGTAATCACAGAGTCTCAGGATCCAGATTGAAAAGATAACCAAATTTTTGGCAAAAAAGAAAAAACTTCCAAACCCTGCTTTGTACCTTTGGATACTAATAGTTGGAAGATCAACTGTTAAATGCCAATTAGTCTTAGATAACATTTCTATTTCTTATATTTTAGCAATTCTGGATGTATTCATATTCACAATTGACAATGCCAACATATAGAGGAAGTGTTGAGATCATCACCAGAGATATTGGAGATTGACCTCAGTACCACCAGAAGTTGACCCAGTATCAATATCAAGAACTTTTAATGATCAGAGAAAGTAATCTCTTGAAGGAATCTTAAGATTGAAATGAATATAGATTCAACAACAAACAAGAGGAAAGCAAGAATTGTGGCAAAACCATATACTGAGACTTACTGTGTAAATTATCTTGATACCCTTGCTCCAATTGGCAAACACTATCTTAGCATGTAATAATGGTTTATGTGACATCATTTGGATTAGAAGTGCAGTCAATTGATGTGGTTGCTGCTTCTCTTGATGGTAAAGTAAAGGAACTTATTTTTATGGAGCAGCCAGAAGGTTCTGAATAAGGATTTCAAGGTGATGATTTAACATGTCAATTAGATTAGGCTATTTATGGATTGAAGCAATCTTCCAGAGAAAAGAATGAAGAGTTTAAAACAGAATACAAGGTGGTGGATTTAATGCAATCAAGGCATACATTTGTTTCCTTTGACTTGTAAATAGACTGAATTGTGCTGATTTGAATTGAGCTGAACATGTCACAACTGGGTTGTAAGAAATGATACTATTACTCAGAGAGCTCTGGCTAGTGACTTTGTTAACAATCAAAATCCAAGTGTGCTTTAAACATGCATAAGGGTAGTTTATGATGTAAAAAATGGTCTACACTGTTTTTTATCCCTTTGAATTTTATTTTAACTTGTGTTTGAGTGCATGTAAAAACTGCTCCAGGAGCGCTAAAACAGCTCTGGGCCAAGAAACAGCTTACATGCCCTTGGTAATTGTCACTTTTTGACAGACTTGTCTGTCACTTTATAAAGGTGCCACAGGTGCAAACAGTTAGAAAAGAACCTAATCATTACACAATAGGGGGTTTCAAGTTGAAGGTTTTTATAACAACTTGACTGTTGTTGTAAAATATGCATAATTTTTTTCAAGCGGGACACCTTTTTTGGTGTCCCAAACTAGAGATATGTTGGTATTATGAAGATTTTGATTTACAAACAACTTGTCCAAATTTATAAAAATCATGCAAAAAAGATTGAACTTGAAACCCCCTAATAAAACAAGATGCATAAACTTTATCAATCTTAGAGTCCTTTGCAATGATAGAATGTAAGGAAGCATCTACATCATTTCCAGGAGGAACCAACTTGAGAAAATCAGCAACAGAAGAATCATTATTTCAACTTTTAAATTTACCTTAGCAGTGGTGTTGGTAGTATATTGTATCTTGCACAATGTGCCATACCTGACATATCATATGCAGTAGTATGCCTATCTCAGCATTTAGATAAGCCAAATAAACATCACTGGGAGGCATTTCAACATGTTCTACTTGATTTGAAAGGCACAGCACCTTTTGTGCATTATGAATGTGATTTAAGCTTACCAAAAGGAATGACAAGCAATGATATCTGACTCTACTAACATTGTTTCCAGATGCTGACTGGGCAGGAGATAAGAGTACTAGGAATTCAACTATGGGATACATATTATTGATGCCTGGAGGAGTGAGTTGCAACAAAAAGTAGCCAAATCATATACAGAGGCAGGGTTTAGTGTGGCCAATGAAGCAGGACATGAAATAATATGGCTGGATTTATAATTGGAATCAATACTTTTAAAACAAGGCTTTCTTCAATATTTGAACTTTGACAGTATGAGTGCTATGGATGTTTCAGAGAATGCAGTATTGCACAGAAGAACAAAGGCAATTGAGATCTACTTTAAGTTTTATTGGCTGCAAGCAAAATTTAAAGATGGTACCTTTTATTTGAAACATGTGGATTTAGAGGATATGCTAGCAGATATATAAGAAAGCCTCAACTTCATGACCCATTTAGAAGTTCAAGGGAGAGGATTAATTTGAGATTAGTGGAATGATAGAGATATGTCAAAGCAGTTGATTGAGGGGGGATGTTGGTTTTCAATCAACTTAATAAGATCACTCAGCCAAAAAGAAAACAAACTGGAGAATAAATAAAAGATGATGAATATTGAAGAGAGGTTTAAATAAAGGATATACATGTACATATCACTTTGATTAAATAATGAAAAGAGAGTCATGACAAAAAACATTACAAAGATTGTTTACCCAACCTATCAGATTGGTCAATTTTCTTATACTTATAGAGATGTGTCTGATGAATTGTATTGGTTCCTAACCCATATTTGGGAAGAGAATGTACATAGCTTTTAATTTTTGTTTTGTCATTTTTCTCTATAAACTTATTTGTTTTGATTTTGATATACAATTTAGAATACCAATCTATAGATCACTTGAGCTCACAAGAATCATTGTGTGATTCCCATCAAATTTATATGCCTGGTTAGTATCTTCCCAAAGAAAAGGATTACATCTACACCCCTCTTAATACATTACCAGTTTTATAAGCAGGTGACAAATATAACCAGTGTTCCAAAAACACTCAGTAATTTTCAAAGCTTCAGAATGCCCCTTTTTATTGGGACTCCCAGCTCCATGAAATTCAAAGGAGTAAATCTGGTCTTTCATGTGCTATTACTATGAAAACATCAAATAGATGAACTTGAAGGAAGGCAACAAAAACCACCATCTCCAGTAGTAATTGAAGGCAGTCATGAATTGGAAGTGGATGAATTCTTAGTTGGTAGAATGAAAAATGGGAAGTATGAGTACTTAATCAACTGGAAAGGATTTAATACTGAAGACAACTTACCTTGGGAGCCATTATCAAACTTGAAGAATAGCAGTGATTTGGTGAAGGAATTTGACATCAACTTTCTCAATGTGGTAACAAAATTTAGGGGAAGGCGGAGAAAACAGTGAGTCATGGGTTAAGATTTCCCGCTGGATTTTTTGATGCTACCTAAGGAAAGAATGCAGAACTCACAAAAAGGGAGTTTGGGCATTTGAGGGGGAATACTCTTATGAATCATACATTCTATGTGACATTTAGACAAGCATATCACATATGACAACTGTACTTTAAATAAATGGCAAAGAGCCTGTTGTATGAAATCATCCAACAATAGATCATCATTAGGCATAACACCCTTTTAAGGTTTCCTCCGTCCTTGTTGGCAAAACCTGTCCACAGTCTTGACATTGAACCTCCAAAGTCCAAGACTTATATTTTATATATACTACACTCAAATTGCCCATAATATATCATGATAAAAATTTACAAACACAAAAGCAAGAACTGCCTACTCAATGAATTGTAAACTGATTGGGCTAGAGCATTTTCTGGACCAGGTTACCCATGCCAAAACACCATGATCATTTGTTATGAAGCAGTAGCCACATGCAACTGTTGAACTAAGTTGATAGATAGCAGACATCATGTCTTGCATAGGCGCGTCATAAGCATTTGTAATGTTCTGCTACAATTCTATTTGTTGCTTGAAGAGCATGATGATGTGTCTGTTTTTTTACTTTGGAGAGAACACCTCGTGTGCCAACCAATGTTGGCGCCGAGGCGCGCTTTCAAGACAAAAGAAAGGCGCATAGACGCGCCTTCGAGGGCCGGACTCCCAGTGTGACTTCGATGGCGCAGATGAGGCCGCGTGGGCTTTGAATGGCAGATTTCATCAAATGACAATGAAATGATCTTTGTGCTGCTTGACAGATTTACTCTTTTGAAAGAAAGCGGGGCATATATTTAGAGCGATTGCGGCTCAATTGGTTTAACTCTAGAAGAAAGAAAGCATGCAACTGTTGCCAAATGATGATTTTGTACCACACATGAGCAAATTGATTTTAACAAATTCTGTACAAATATAAACATATGAAACATTTAAGATAATATTACATCAATCCTGAACACTCCAAAGAAAAAAAATGGATGATAATTGACCATACATAATTCTGAGTAATTTAAATCAGATAACGATGAAAATGAAAATCAGAAGCAAGTAAATAAATCTGCAAATTTTAAAAAGGTCCAATTTCTCGATTTTTTCATTCAACACTTGTTTTTTTTTAGAATGAATTCCTTGAAGATTGTTTCAAACAGCTGCTGGAACTTCTCTCATTGGACTCTTTAAACCTGTACCAGCTTTTACCGCTCTACTTGCGATCAAAGCGATATAAGCTAAAACGAAACTCAAGGTGATCCCTAAACCGTAAAAAGACATCAAAGATCAGAAAAAGGTTCAAGAGTGAGAGAAGAGAAAGAGAAGACTTACATTCGATCCATGCAAAAGCTTGAACAGCTTTCAATGAATGACAATACCTAATTCCAACATTAATTCTAACATCTGATAAAAACAAATCACCGCATGAAAGACCACTCAAAGTATCACTTAGAGCAGCAGCACCAGATAACCAAAAGATCCAAGTTATAAAGAGAAATCCTGCATGAGATGCTAAGGAGAATAAAAAGTTTGTTGGTAGTTTAAAGATTCCGAATAGATAAATCGAAGTGAAGACTAAACTCCAGATTGAAGTGAACAGTAAGAATTTAAGTCTGTTCGATTCGAATACAAAAAAGTAAGTCAATTCGGTTTGTAAGCCGTTTCATGGTCAACAGGAGGTTTTGGTGGTCAAGAAGAGGTTTTTTTGAACTCACCGATCTCGAAGACTATCGCTGTAATAACTATTGTCTGAATTATAATTACTTATTAAGATTGTAGTGATTAAGAATTCGATGAAACTGAAAAGGATTATAAAACTAAAAGCTATTGGATGAGCTTTCTTGACTGCGTTGTCTGTCGACATTTTGGTGGATTTATCTGAGTTTTTAGATGAGAGGAAGGATTGGTTTATTTGATTTGACTCGAAGGATTAAATGGAATGGAAGTGAAATGGCAAACAAGCAGTTGAGTGAGATATAAACTGAATCAAATTATCTTTTTTCTGAGTTTGATTTCCTTTTTTGATGGTCAACAAGAAATCGAAGATTGTTTCTTTATTTGGCTTAAGTTGAGGATGATCGAGTGAAGAAGAAGATTAGTGGCTGTGCAGTTTACCAAACACGATCAATGATCAGAAGCTAGAGCCAATCAATCTTACCTAATCCCGATATCAACTCCAAATACCCTTTTTTTCATTTTCATCTCAATTAATGAATCGAATCAAATCGAACAGAATAGAACCCTTCATGCTGATTTGTATAGTTTAAGTTGATCAAAGGATCGGTCAGGTGATGAGATGGTTGAAATCACTCAAGGCACCAGAAGGATTTCTGATTCAAACGTCATCATTTAAATGAGAAATCATACATATATGCATCAGTAAACCCTTGTTGGTCGATCAAAGGATTCCCTTTCATAAACCTTGATTCCGATTCATCTTCGCTTAAACTTACTCTGTCATATTCGAGGATATCAATTCGGAAGGATTTAGAACTACATAATCAGAATCCCTATGAGGACAGATCTCTTAGACGCCGACTGTTGTTATTCTACCTTTTACAAATGATTGCGATCGATTTCAGAGTTCGTGAACTCATCCAGGAAGGTTGTGATAAGGCATATCCCAGTGGATGGAAGTCGTCTAACTTGCGTGGAGGAAAGTAGACTAGCAACTACGACATATCCTTCCATACCCAGCATCACCTGTCTGAAAGTCGAAAAAGGTAAAATGAAGACGATATTTGAAGAAAACTGATGATGGAGAGACACAAAGCAGAAAAGGAAATTAGTTTCCTGCATAAAAATTTGTGCAACTTCAAATGGTCTTGAATTCGATCCAAGATTGACCCCTTCATCGGACTTGATCTGGGACTCTCATCAAGTCAATTCGAGCAGCTAACTTTGAATGTAATAGTTCGAGGAGATGGACTTTCTTAACTTGGCAAATTGAAGGGTTATCCATGAGCCCAATTTGTTGGACTTCTTTTCCACAACTGAGTGTTTGATAAGGTAAAAGTCTCAGTAAGAGGCTGCTGGAGTGACAATTTAAGTCAGACTGATGAATACATTGCTTCGTCAGGGGATGACTAGAGTTGCAATGTTCATTTCAGATACCAAAGATAACCTTGATTTGAAATTCCAAGTGTTGGTATGATATCTCACATAAGGCAGACTGACTTTGTAACAAGGATAAAGAAAAGAAGACGATACAACAGAATGTGTTATAAAAAAAGCAAATGCAGGACTTTATTGAAAAGAATGCCTAAAATATAACTGTCCCTACCATGTTTATAATGCTACCTAAAATCTTGAAACTTTCAAAAACACATTCAGAAAGCCCTGCCTGAGAAGGACATTCTGGTGATTTTTTGTTTGTAAACACAAAACAAAAATTGAAGGACTAGGAGGCCAAAGTATAAAAAGTCTTAGGGACTTTTTTGGCCAACTTGAACTCCCCTATTGATTTTGGAAAAGATCTTTTAAAGATGAACACATATCTAAGATTGTAGAATCAAAAGGATGATAATCGAGTTTCAAATCTTTTATAGATTTCGATGTATCTAAACACTCTTCTATTACCAATTTCTCATCCTCTTAAAGAAGTGTTGATAGGAGCATTGGATTAGTAAAATCAAAAAGACCCAAAAGTAGGAAGAGAATAAAGACTAACTTGGGGTTCTTTTGGTTGCATTAGGCCAATGAATCGCTTGATTACTTTCATTCACAATATCTAATGCGTCTTGCCATATTAAAGGTTCTAAAGTGGTTTTGTAAGATAGAATTCATCATCAATGAACAAGATGAAGTCCTTTACTAGAGGTAGATATCGATTCAATGCTTACGTTTTGAAATCAAATATCGATTACCACCAGCTTTTTCGATAAGTAAAGATTGGATATGGGCGAATGCCACATCACGTACATCAACCTCTGATGCTGTTGGACGCTATCAAACTCAACAGTGAACAGGAAACAATGATCAATTTATATCCATGAAAGAGAATTTTAAAGGACATTTGAAAAAAATTCACTAACGTTTGCGATTTCACTACTAATTCTTCCTAAAAGGAATTGATAGAAAAAACTTAAACTAGTATTTAGAGATGTTTCATCTTTAACTTCATGAATGATTGGTCCTAATCTACAAATCGGATTTTTAGGAAAATAGTTCGCAATCAGCTCTTTGAGTTCGAAAATCAAGTTGAATGATTCAGTTTGAGATAACTTACACAAATGATGGACAAATGGTTGTTAGATCAAACTTTGGTTTGTTAGTCTTGACAAACTCCCAAGCTGCTTTTTCCGCAAGCTAAGCAATATCCAAACAATTCCAGACATGAACAAAGAATCCCTTTAAATTTGATCTTTGAAACGTAAAGATCCTCTAATAGAATGTGAAAGATCGTCAACAAAGACTTACAACTTTAGAAGCAAAGTAAGCAGTAAAAGGTGGAGAAGCTGATCCTTTCTCTTCAAGAATCTTAGGATCATCTTCATTGAAATCTTGTTCTGTATAAATGTGAGTGGCTTTGAATGATGGTTCACTCAAACTTTCAACACTAGCTATTGCTCCAAGAGATGAAGTAATGATGACTCTTTTAATTGATTTTCCATTGAGACTATTTGCTGATTTTAAGATTGACAAAGTTCCATTGACTGCTGGAGAAATGTATGTTTGATATGGATCATCTGAAGTCTAAAGTTCATAGAATGTGGGAAAAAAATCATGATAAGTTCGGTTTACCATATATATATGAAGATGTGAGATGACTGACATGAGTATTGAAGGGTGAGGCAACATGAATAATTCCTTCAATATCTATTACAGCTTCATCAAATCCATTTGGCTGACTCGAAATAAATGGATTTTTTTTTCAGAATCAGCATGATGTGAATTCCTTTATGAATCTCTTGAACTCAAAAAAAAGAAAAAAATACTCAACGTCTGTCAAATCCTCTACAATTACATATGACCAATTATCTTGAAATTCTTTGAAGAGATTTGATAAATAATCTCCTTTTTCAAAACTTCTTACTGTTCCTCTTACTTTAAAACCTTGCTCCAATAATAACTTACAAATCCAGGAAGCAATAAAGCCACTCCTACGAAAATTATCTCATTTATCATTCAGTTGGTATTTGATTTCTGGTCGATTTATCTATATTACTTACGCTCCGGTGACTAGAACAAAAGAACCTGTTCCGATTGAGAGTAAGTATACATAAATCAAGATTCAAGGTAAACTTTGACTCACCAGTAGTGATTGCAGGCATTTAAGATGAAAATGTATTTTCTTATTATAGGTTCGATGATATTTGAAGATGGAATGAAAAGATACCAAGCATGCAAAAGAAGGAGAACCAGAAGGGAAACCTTTGAGTTTTATATAGACGATTGAAAATCCCACAACTATCCATCAATTCACAGCCAGTGGATCAACATTCAACTCTATGTAAAACCCTTCGGTTACATCATGATTCATCTATGACGGTCCACGATCAGAGGATGAGTTCGGTCGGATTACATAGTTCTCGAAGACATCCAAATCGGTTTGCGTTTCGATTGAATTCGATACTGCATTCAATCCCTGCCGATTGCGACCGCGAGGAAAGTTCATGCGGATATAAAGTATGTATCATAACGGGCGCTGTTAGGTAAGTTCGGAACGATACCGGGTACGCTTCAGGTCGAGATGTTCAGGTCCTTCAGGGGTTTATGAAGTTTTTTTCGATCAAGTCATTTCTTGACAGTCCAAATAACGGACGAGACTCTGAAATACACATGTCACAGTCAAATTCAGTAACGAAGAATCCGATTCTCAGGGAATCGCGCCAGGCAAGACGGAGCGTGTATGTACGTCGATTCAACTTGCTTGATGGACACTTGAGATATATGTCGCAAGTATTCCTGACGTGAGTGTGATCGCGTGAAGCTTGAACTTGAAGACTTCTCGTGAGAGAAACTTTCGAACTCCTACTGGAAGTCGGGCCATCATATTCATAAGGGTCAAAAAGGGACTAGTTCCCTTTTGATCAGACCTATAGATAATGATTTTCAGCTTCATGAAAGATTTCAAAGAATTCTGACTGGTCTATATGAGCTTCTTCCTCTTGATGCTCCTGGGAACGAGATTATTCTGGTTAGCAAAATGCGTTCATCACGCTTGAGGGTGTGGCATTTCGTAATGAAGAATACTTCAGCAAAAAGGGCTGGACATCATGAGCACATTGAACTCTGAGAATAGCAAGTCACATGTCGCCTGCGCTAGGTTACAGAATCAACACCTGAGTGAACTCAAGGGTTGTGCGTTTGATCATACATTGCTTTTGCTAACAGGTCATACAATTGAATCAAGAAAAATCGATAGGTTTGTGAGATAAAATCCAAGTCTTCATTATTTCTTAAAGAGAGTCTTGAAAGAAGTGCACATGTCCAAGATTGTAGTCTCAAAGCTATGATACTTCAATCCAAGATCGCTTATAGATTTTGAAGTATCTACGGGATTTGGTACTACAATTTTCTCCTCGCCTAAAAATTCAAATCGAAACATCAGCGGTGAAGAGGAGGATCAGAATACAAAAGGAGAGTCATTGACCAGGGTTGCGTTTTGGTGCTTGAGGCCAATGAGCAGCGTCACTGCTCGCATAGACTATATCCAATGCATCTTGCCATATCAAAGGTTCTGGTAACAATTTGGAATCAGCTTCGCGCATCTAAAAAAAGCTTGAAATAAAAAATTGTACTCACGCTTGGAAACCAGGTATCTGTTCCCACCAGCCTTTTCAACGATCAAAGATTGAATGTGGGCTGCCGCAACGTCACGCACGTCAACTGCTATACCAGCCGGGCGCTATGAGCCGGTAACGAAGCGGTAGTTCAGGTCAGTAATCGTTCCTCCTCCATCGTCATACGAACCTGTCAAGATTGACATACCTTTGCAGCTTCGCTGTCACCTTTTCCTACAAGGTATTCATAGAAAGCATTTACACTAGTATTCAAAGCAGCTTCATTTTTGACCTGATGGATAATAGGCCCCAAACTTGATGGATCGCAAGGAAGCAAGAAATAGGAACCTGACTTAGCATCGAGTGCAATACAAACTGAAGTGGACGATATAAGAACCCTGAGACATACACAAAAGGTGGACAGATGGTTACAAGATCATACTTGGTCTCGTTGGTCTTGACATACTCCCATGCAGCTTTCTCTGCTAGCTACGATTCGGACGCACAGAGAAAGCAAGCATAGTGTTTCAGGCAGGTGATTGGAGGGTTCAAGCGAGCGTATCCTTCATTAGATCCCGCAAAGAAAATGGAGGACAGAGAAATGATGGGAGCTTACGACTTTGGATGCAAAGTAAGCAGTCCATGGCGGAGAATCTTTACCTTTCTCTGCGAGGATTTGTGGGTCAACTTCATTGAAATCTTTCTCTGTGAAAACTTTCCCCTCTATCGCAGGTGCATTGAAGCTGGTGACCGCCCCGATTGAAGAAGTGACGACGATACGCTTCACCGTGGCGCCATTCGGGCCATGTGCAGATTTCAAGACGGACAGCGTGCCATCAACTGCCGGAGAAACGTAAGTTTTGTAAGGGTCATCAGACGTCTGAAAAGAAACAGAGCCGATGTCAGCCTAAGCGTGCCGCAAGATATTCTAGATCACGTTCACGACAAACGTGTGTGCTAAAGGGTGATGCAAGGTGTAGGATTCCATCCATATCTTTGACAGCCTCATCAAAACCGTTCGGCTGTTTCATGGCAAAAAATAGTGGAGCCGTCAGTCTAACGGCACTATCTGATATTACCTTTTACGATTCAAGTTCAAAGAGAGAAATCACTCAAACGCTCATAAGATCCTCTACAATCACATATGACCATTTGTCCCCGAATTCTTTGAAGAGATTTGTGAGATAATCTCCCTTTTCCGCACTCCTCACCGTTCCTCGGACCTTGAAGTCCTGTTCAAGTAGTAGCCGACAAGTCCAAGCGGCGATGAAGCCACTCCTGTGAAGATGTACGACACGTAACTCGTCATCTGGCTGAGATTTTTCTCAATCGGCTTTTTTTACTTACGCGCCAGTGACTAAGATGTGGGATCCTAGTTTGATCGATGGTAGCGTGTGAGCTTTCATTCCACGAGCCGGCGGTATCAAGAATGTAAGACGGCCGCGACTCACCAGGTGTGATGGCAGGCATTTAGGGGCCGATTGTGTAGTTGCGACGGTTCTGAAGATGGCAAGGCACTACGTACGGTAAACAGGATGGATGGTATATATGGGTTGGCGTAAGGGTGAGCAAAGGTCCACAACCAAATTGTAGTTTGAAGCTCTTTTGAGCTATGTACATCATGCATCCTCATGCATCACTAACTTACTAAGCCCCTCTTCTGACAGCACCTCCGACAGAGCGGACGTAATACATCACACTCAGAGGCGCCGCTCTAATAAAGTCCCTCGATGCCCCGACTGCTGTCATTCAACGAGTTGAATCCGCATTTCTCTATACATACATCGAGCGATATCAACGGTCTTCTATTTTAAGAGCACCAGCAATTGTTGGCGTTACTTAAAATCGGAGTTATTTGCACCGGTGCTAATTTTAAGCTGAATGAATGATCTTTGGCCGGGGTCAACTATGTTACATACATGTATGGTCTTTTTTTTTCTTTTCTTTTTTTTAAAGTGCTTTTGGCTTGATTAGGGGTTCTCAAAGTAGACCCGGTTTGTAAAAACCCGGTTGACCCAGTTAACTTTTTGGCTGTGATCTGTCAAAAAATGTCAACTCCATCTCTACTCCGGGCGTAAGGTGTAGGTTTTCCTCAAGCTTTCTATTGTTTATCAATATGTATTACTTTTTCTAAAATGAATGGCACCCCTGGCCCGAGAAAAAAATATTTTTCAGCGCCGCAGTCCCCGCAGCCGGTGCAGTGATGCATACAGAATCCAGATCAGCTGGCTGACGCGGCCTGCTGAGCACTGTAATTGGCAATCACTCACCGAACTCCCTCTACGATTGGCTTTCAACACCCACTTCCTCGACATTTTTCCTGACGCCTCAAACCAATTGCTTCATCGATCACACGTAAGTCGTCCTATCAGCTTTCTAGCACACCTATTCCACGTTGACTTATAACCTTTTCTCTTTTTCTTTTTCTTTTTCTTTGACTTTGACTTTGATTTTGATTTTCTCTTCTTTTTTTGACCATGTAGATCAAAGACTACCCCGATTCAAACAGAGACCGTCATATGTCTAGTTTTGCTACAGGTCACGGAGAAGGGATGGGCATTTGATTGAGATCTCATTGATTTAATTGAATTTTTTATTATCTAGTTAACGAACACGATCATTCTGTTGATCGGATTGATATCACAATTGTTTCTTTACCCGATGTATCTTTTTTATTGAATCTCTTTAATACTTTTGAACGTCTCTTGATTTTTGTGCTGTCTGACTCAGAAATCAATGCAAAGAAGGAAACTTTTGTTTGATTTGCCATTCAAAACCAAACTTATCTACAAAACATCAAATTAAATTGTTCATATTTATTTGAACAACTTTTAACATTTCAGTTAAGATTTTAGGATGAACGAACTAGATACTGGATCCTCTATTTTAGTGAGATTTGATTGAAAAACATTGAGATTATCAATATAATTGAAAGTTTTTTGTCGATGCGACAAAGAATGAAAAAGACAATAAGCTGGATCATGTTCTGCTTGAGTAACTATAAGTTGTTTGGCGTCATTTATGTTGGATCATAAGTGAGATTAATGGGACTTTCTCAGTTTGTAGGCTCATACTTTTGGAACACAGTGAACTTGCATTGATCAAAACAAAAACAAAAAGTGTGAGTCATCACAACCACAAATAAGAACTGAGAACAAATACTAGCATAAGCATCAATTACTACAACTTGAAAAGTCATTAACAGGAACCATGAGTTATGATATCCTAGAGCAAAACTTATCATAAGGACACATTTTTTGTAAAAAAAAAGGAAATGGTGGTCTGGTACCAGAGATAGGCCAAGTACGAGACCACCCCAAATCACTCATAACCACCCTCAATCACTTGAAATCATCTCAAAAGTGAGTATCATCTTTGCTTATGACGGTGTCGGTTTGAACAAGGAGTTGGGGTAGTCTTTGATCTACATGGTCAAAAAAAGAAGAGAAAATCAAAATCAAAGTCAAAGAAAAAGAAAAAGAAAAAGAAAAAGAAAAAAGGTTATAAGTCAACGTGGAATAGGTGTGCTAGAAAGCTGATAGGACGACTTACGTGTGATCAATGAAGCAATTGGTTTGAGGCGTCAGGAAAAATGTCGAGGAAGTGGGTGTTGAAAGCCAATCGTAGAGGGAGTTCGGTGAGTGATTGCCAATTACAGTGCTCAGCAGGCCGCGTCAGCCAGCTGATCTGGATTCTGTATGCATCACTGCACCGGCTGCGGGGACTGCGGCGCTGAAAAATATTTTTTTCTCGGGCCAGGGGTGCCATTCATTTTAGAAAAAGTAATACAGCCAATCTAGAATACGTTGGCCCGGTGATTTTTTATTTTATTTTATTTGGGTGATACAGCTGCCAATACAGCTTGAAATATAAGCATAATGCTTAAATCAAAATATGAAATTGGCTATTGACCACCCGATATCTACCACCGACCATCATTGTCATCCTCATCCACCATCCCTCGTCTTCAACGTTACCTTTCTCTTTCATATCTCAAAGCTCTTCATGCCTTTTGTGCTGTACACAGCACAACTCAAGGTGATTGCCCTCACCAAGTTTCTGTCGGGCCAATCCCTCAAATCCATCAACGAAGACCTCATTACTTCAATCTCAGCCAAATCAATCTCACGATGGAATGCTCTTTACCGCGAAACTCACGCAGTGGTTCGTGATCCTAGAACCTACCATCAACAAGGCCGTCGGACTTTATACTCAAACAAGGATCGAGCATTCATGGTCGAACTCATTGATGCTGATCCGACCTTGTTTCTCGACGAAGTGCAAGAAGCGATGTACAACCACACCAATCTCATTGCCTGTCGACAAACCATCGCAAACGACCTTAAAGAGCGTCTTTACCTTACCCTTCACAAGGTATCTGCGATTGATATCAATCAATCACCAACACTTCGAGCAGAATATTCCAATCGGATCTGCCACCACCCACCTGAGTTCCTAGTTTTTCTTGGTGAGTCTTTTCACTCTTCTCTTCTCTTTTTCCTTCTTAAAAAGAGGAATTGAACTAACGTGAATATGAATTGTCTTGTTCTTCACCTAGACGAATGTGGTTTACGAGCACAGGATGTGCAACGCAAATATGTTAGATCCAAACAAGGCGCACGTCCAAAACCCTTGAGACGTAACCGGGCTGGACGTCACTACAGCATGCTGGCTGCCATCTCCGAGTCTGGTTTACTAGCCGTCAACAGTAGAATTAATGGTTATCAGCGAGACGATTTTGAAGCTTTTTTAAAGCACATTTTGGTGAGTTTGGTCTTTTGCTTCCAGATTTCATCAATTGTACAAAGCTAACCTTCATTGAATAGCTTCCTGTGATGCAACCCTACCCCAGTCGCAATTCAGTCTTAGTAATGGACAACGCTCCAATACATTGTCGTGGGGCCATCAAAAGCTTGTGTGATCGTGCAGGGATACTTTTAGTCTACTTACCACCGTACTCGCCCGACTTCAACCCAATCGAGCGAGTTTTCAAAGTTTTCAAGGACAAACTTCGCCAAAATGCCTTGTTTGCTAATGCTCTCAATAGGTTTCATTGTATGGAAAGAGCTATGAGCAATGTTTCAACCAACAGTTTCATTAGGAGGCTTTATCAAACTTGTGGATACAGAAGATATGATAATCCAATTTTATGAACTTTCATCGAAGATCTTGATTATCATGTTTTCTATTTTTTCATGATCATGATATTCTCACTGTAGAGAAATCCAAAGGTCCTTGAACCAAATTTGTTATCCATTTTTATAAAGTTGTTTCCAAAATTAACATGGTTTTGATTGCTTTCATGAATCACAAGATTATTATTGTAAAGAAAGCAAAAGATCTTCAAATGATCAAATTGTCATGTGCTTGGAATTGTCATTGTAAAGAATTCAAAATATTGTTGAACCAAGTTCCAATCTTAACAACTGAATCATATCAGTCATAAAGTGAGAAATTCTCGAAGTGAAAAATTCTCAAAGTGAAAAAAGAAAAGTTCATTGAACATTAAAGGTGTCACAAATTCGGATTTGATCATTCAAAACTGGGTCTTGATAAAAATCTAAGACCAGTATCTGTTCTCACTTGTGGCTCAAAGAGGTTGTTTGATTCTTAAACATAAAATCTTCATTACAAAACATCTCAAACATGACATAAGGTATTGTAGAGTACTCGAGCTACAGATGGTTAATATTTAATTTGTTACAGATTGATTGAGTACATTCTTGTTCAGATACTAGAACTATTGATGGTTGGCACGGAATCGTTGCTTAAGAATATCACGATACACCGGTGCTTGGTCATGGAGGCGAAGGCGAGCTCCAAAGGGAAACTGGAGCTTTGTCATTTCCTCCACACTGAGTTGGGGAGATAGAAACATCTCAAAGGTGCAGATATCCAAATCACGGAGTAGAGCACGAGTAACTCTGTCATCCTTGGCGATTGAGCAATGTTCAAGGTATTCCTCGAAGAGTGGAAGTGGTCTTGGAGCTGGAGAGTCGCTTCGTAAACTGTTACCAACCGGAAGAAGAGTTGAGCTGGTAGACTCGGGATTTGGAGCAGTGTGAGCTCGAGCGAGGGGGTTTTTGTATCTTGGCTCCCACTTGAAATCAGGTCCTTTGGGAGGTTTCATATATGAGACTCCCTGAGCATGGCTATGCTATTCAAAAGCAAATCAAATTGATGTCAGTTTCTGAGGTGATTGATTTAAAAGAAAAATCGAACTCACTATAGCTTTTGCCCATATATCAAACGCGATGTGGGATAAGGGCATCGCCTCAGTAGAGTCCATTGGATTGTAACAACCCATACACTCCCTACCAGCGATTGAGCAATGACCGTACTTGGTCATCAGTTCGACTTTGATAGCCTGAATGCTTGGATTGACATCTATAGCCTGTTCAAAGATGTTCATTAGAATCATAAACAAAAGTAAAATGAAAATTGAGATTGACTTACTGCCATCTCAAGCT